GCATCAATAAAACTTTTAACTGACATCATGGGCAGCATTAATAACGATATCCAAACCTTGTAACGACTATCGTTCCTGGGAAAAGTGGCAGCGAGAGGTTGGGAGAGGAGAACCGCACGGTATGGTAAGAATCTTTGAACAATAACTACAATAGAAAGAACAATACTGTGTCGATGTACAACCACAGTTTTTGTGGGTTCACCAGAGGACAAGCAGAACAATGTAATATCCGCCACTGGAACCACCTTTCGTAAGACAACACATGCACATATCAATGAGCAGACTGCGCACACACTCTGGTGTGGGCAAATGCAACTAAACAATTCAAGACATTTCCTTCTGCCTGGAGTTTGACTCAATAACAAAGAAACTTCTGATAGCACTATAAGTTACTAAAAATATGAATGATGCCTAAACTCATTCATGGGAACTCATCACAACTAGCATCACTTGAGAATGTCTAGTACCTACTGTTAATAATCATTTTAACATAATTGATACAGAATAAACGTCAGGGGTGAAGCCTATCCTAACTAGCGATAGTACTGGGATTATTCTGCCCCAAACACAGTACAATCACTGCATTTCTGAATGCACGCTGACATAACTTCGCCAATCCAATCTCACTGGTGTCATGCGGATTCTTGCTGGAAAGTGTCTCTCTGAAACACTTGCAGTTGGCTTTGACCGTGGACTCATAGAGTTATCTCTCCTTTGTTCAGCCGCTGTACGACAATGGTTGTTGTCAGCTGGAGCAGGAAACTTGGGTTCAATATACAGATTTTAGTATGGAGGTCGGCAGTGGAATCCGTGTGACCCCAATACTGACTAGGTCCAGCATTGCCTTTCTGAGCTGGTCGACGTCGTTTCCGAATTATATCACTAACTTAGCTTCACAATGCAACTGTCCCAGTCGCTTGTGTATAGGTCCTGGAATCCACTTTGGTAAACCTGTAATCGCCTTGGCCTAGTCGTGTTTTTTGAAGACATGGAGAGAGAGAGAGAGAGAGAGAGAGAGAGAGAGAGAGCGAGAGCGAGAGCGAGAGCGAGAGCGAGAGCGAGAGCGAGAGAGAGAGAGAGAGAGAGAGAGGAGAGAGAGAGAGAGAGAGAGAGAGAGAGAGAGAGAGAGAGAGAGAGAGAGAGAGAGAGAGAGAGAGAGAGAGATGTTTGTTTATTATTGTTTGTTACCCACCGATTTACGCGAAATAGTCGGTGAAACAGCTGGCGAGCAGAGGGCTGGGGGTAGCGAGGGGGGGCGGGCGTTGTAGCAACCTGCATAAAATCATCTCTCACAAAATATAGTGATAGATTTCGCTCCCACCACCCATGTAACTAACATATGGGAACCTAGCGTGTATGTATGAAGAATGATGAAGTGTGAGGAAGAGTGGAAAGAACGGGGGGATGAAGTGTAAGTGCAGGTGTGTGTGTATGAGTGTATATATGCTGTGCGAGAATGTAAAAGACTGGTAAGCGTGCATTTAAGCCGGAGAAACGTGTGTGTGCAGGACTTCTTCCCAAGGCGCAGATGGTCAGTGATTTAGCTTTGCCTATAGCTTCTTGACCTTAAGTTCATTTCATCTTTACAGTTCTTAAATTTATCCTTCATCACAATACTTTGGTGGGGCGAATGTAGGGGCGTGACTTAAAACTTCAAACATTCACTAAAAGAGCTAAACGAAAAGACATTTAACTAAAATGCAAAATAGAAGTTTAAATCAATAGAACACAAAATACATGTACAACACAAAAATAAATAAAACCAGTAAAACACAAAGACATAAAACGCGTAAAATAATGAAATAAAATACGTTAGTTAAAGACTTCAAAATAACTGTAAGAAGCACCGACCTATGCTTCTACTACACTTAATTAAATAGGTCAGGAATCTTCTCCCAATACCCTGTTAATACAACTGCACGCCCCAAACACATCTGCTTAGGGAGCAGAGGGCCCATTCCGGGGTTCCCTGACAACCTCTCTCGACCAGCGTGACCACGAGACCTCAGTAGCAACTCGAGGTGCCATGGCGTCTGTTTTGATGATTGTTCACTGAAAATATAACCCTTAAAATCATTATTATTCATCCTTTCTGAAAACTGAAGAGACCAAAATGATCGACCATTTTCACAAAGCATCCGTAACTTTTGTGACGTCATCAAAAAATAAACTCGATGTGCTTTTTTTTTCCATAAGTAGAATCAGACGCCATGACACCTCGAGTTGCGACTAACCGAGCCTTCCCCACACGAAACCCCCTTTACAGGTACTTCTTACCTTTCCTCTTTAACTTTTACGTGAGAATGTTTACAAATTTCTCTTTCAAAATGATCAAATGCTTTTGAAAAAACAGCTATTAAAAGATAAAAATAAAAGGTAAAATGACTAAAATAAATTATCAATGTATAAAATGTTCTTTGTGATATATTGTAGAAAAAAAGCTCACCCTTTATCCATTCTCTTTGTATAGTAGAAGTTCCTGTTTTGTGAAGGATGGATA